ATCCTTAAACTATACATTAAAGTGAATTAATTTTTGAATTAATATCTACCATTACAGAGAACCTCAANGGTGTCCTACCAACCTATCTCGCCTATTTTTTATTGACTTCCATAGAGTCCTCTGTTCTCCTATTCTTTCCAATACCTCTTCATTTCTAACCTTTTCTACCCACGATATCCTCATCATCCGCCTATAACACCACAATATAGCTTATCACTATTTTTTTTTTGTTATGTTACGACAACAGTACATTATTATCAGCGTTGCAAATTGTACTGAAAGATCGATATTCGTTCTCATTTTACGGCTGTTACGTCTAGTATCTTCAAGGGCGACGCTAAATAGTTCTGAAGTTCAAACTAAGGACGTATTATACCATTTATTCCACAAATATCACCGCATGGTCAGAAAGTAACATTCGGAATCCTATCTAAACACTGCATCCACGGATTTGGAGAATTTTCATCCACGACACACCTTGTGAAACCATAAAAATGAACTGCTGTTGTCCTGATTGAATCCTAACGTTTCGCTAACCCAGCTTCTTCAAAGGTTCTTCCATCTCCTACGATCTCTAGATCCAAATGAGGATCAATTTGTCAATAATTTAAACAAGAACTAATAACTTCAAGTGTGTTGTTGCAACACAAATAGCATAAACTTATTATAAATATATAAATTATATATTTAGAAACGAAGCGGTCTGTAATTTTTCTACAGTAAAATTTTATTCTTTGTCGTCTATGTTTTTTTATGCTTTTGCACAATTTTAAACCTTGATTTTCAAGAAGCTGACTTGGCAACTAGGCAATCTATTATTCTTATTCTCTTATTGTTTCACTGGAATCAATACTCTACATCTACCTCGCAATTAATTGACGTTAGAAGTTTCAATTTGCGGGGAATAATACTGTCGCTTTTTAAAACTCAAGCCTCGAATGAATAAAAGTAAGTCCCTCAAGAAACAGCGTCTGGATTCCTTCTGCTGTGTAATGCTGGAATATGTACATACCTAGAAATCCAAAAGATTTAATGCTGCCGTTGCTGCTGCTTCTGCCGATGATGCTGTTAATTCCCACTCTTCTAATTAACATATCAATTAAAACGTGCAGTGCACCAAGCGTTTTAGGTCTACGTTTAAAGCGAGATCGTACTCATTAGTACGGAAAACGTAAATTATGGTTTTAATTAGTGGAAAGTAATTGCAAGCGTGAAAAGGATTTTCATCCGAACATTAAAATCTGTGCGTCGACTACTACATTTTTCACATAAATGCGAAAAACTATTTTTCCGATTTTATGTGCTTGTCAAAAAATTATTTAAGTATGTACATACGTCATGAAGCCATTCATAATATAAAACAGTAAAATTCGAAAATTTAGCTGCTACAACCACCTAGTACGAGGCTATTGAAAAAAATATTTCGTTGCTTTCGACAGATGTCAAAATAAATGTGATATTCAGATGCGATATTTTGTGATTTATTGTCTCTATGAATCTACGTGATTCGGTTTGGGAATAGAATAGTTTCAATATAAATAACAAATTTACATATGAGCAAGACCACGAAAGAAACTTCTTACCATATTCTCAAGGGGAATGTTCAGAAAAAGCGACCGGATGAAAGAAATACGAGAATATATATAAGGACAAAGTCAAAATCGCTAACACGCTTGTGGTGATTTTGGAATCAAAGTTTGAACTAATCTTACTCGCTATAGATGACCTCAAATTAATTAAAAAATGTTGTTGCTGCTTACCCTCCCTTACAGAGAGCTGAACTCGAGCCCCTAGTTTTACGTTTCAAAGTATCTCACTATTAATTTGTTTGTTTATTTATTACAATTTCCCGCCTTAACTAATCAACTAATCATTATAAAATTTTGTATACGCATTGTCAGGGGTGCATAAAAGGACACAGAGTGTCTCTTATCCTTTTACTAATTTACTGCAGGGTTTCCCAAAATTTGCAAATGTTTAATTAATTTCTCTAAAGTGACTTTTATATGCAAACCTCTGTATTATCATAAACTTTTGTTGGGCTAGCAATCGTCATCGTTCGAATACGTTGTCGCTTTGTTTCCGTAGAGATTTATTTCGGAGTCGTATATTTTGCGGCAAAACTTTTTCCGTTACACGTTTACCCAACGATTTATTTTCATGTCTGACCCTGTTAGCGCGATTTTTCGGGAAGTTTCTTTTATTCACAGTCAATTTGTATCACACGTTATTTTCGCAGTAGATTTGGAACGTTCGCTCCTCGTTAACATTTTTCTTCTATTTTACTTTGTAAACTGGAAAACGATCTCTAGAAAAATATATAATACATACATAAGTATCTGCAAATTGTAAAAAATGATAAATTACCGCCCGTCGTTCGAAAGCCGCGCTCAAAGCTGCAGAAAAGCTATTTTTAACTATTCGACTTTAATTAAGTAGTTGTTTTACTATTTTTCTAACTTTTTTACCCATTAAATAATTGAATCTCGAATCAATTACCACGCAGTGGTATGTGGTACTTTTTTGTTTTTTTAAAGGTGAGCCAGCTGGATATGCGTTAATTAAGTTAAAAATAAAACAAACTCTAAGTACCCACGTATAGTACAAAACAAAAGAAACGACGCGAAAACATTATTTCCACTTTCTTTATTGTTGAGCAAGCTTAATGTTGTTGTAGTTGTTTTGGTCTTGGAACAGATAGCAGCTCTAAAGTGCGATGTCCAGCTAACCTTGGGTAGCTAGCTGGCTGCTAGAGAACCTTCCACAATCCATCGATTCAATCGATGAACTTTAGAATATTGAAAGGAAAAGCAGATGTTTAACAACAAGAAAACTAGCATACATACATTATTGTAATATCTATCGCGTCTTATTGTTTTTCATTTTGAAACGATAGACCAGTGCTTTTCTTTTCTGGGCGTTTTAGCCGATGTATTTTGTTAACCCTGCTACCCTATTTCGACTCTGTTTTTCGGTTCGGTAAATGTACGGTGATTACCGTTAATACTGGCCGTCAGGTGGACGGTTTTTCGTAAACATGTTAAATATTAACGAGGAAACAACCCGCTTCCTAGCAAATAATAGTGACCGTTTCAACCGCATTCGTACATGAATATCCTGTTCGTTATTTAAAAAACCACCACCTGCGTAACACTTGTTAACAGTACAGGTAACATGTGTACCAAAAGGAAGTTCTGGTATAACGAGAAAATATTCTATTAGGTAAAAAATGCACATGCAGGTGTTGCTACCTATGGTTCACTAAAAATTTACTTAACCATTAGAGTGCATGGACAGACGATGTTTAAAATCGGTAGACGACATAAAGTCTGTGTCCATTTTAGTATTTTTAATGTTCAATTTTCCAGTCTATGGCAATAAAACTGTAGCATTTATTTTCTTTTTTCAACTTACTAACTACAATAGAGCGGTTGCTGACAGAACGCCTACGTTTACTCACTTTTGTAGGGAATATCGTAAACATAGAAAAGAGATGTCAGGTAGGAATTGCAGTGGGCACTAATAACATTGCACCAATTGATGTGTAACAGAAAGAGATGCAGACGAAAAGAATTTGAGCATGTTGCTAGCATCGGACTTTAAAGAAAGATTAACGTTTTCAGAAATTCATGAAAGCAAAGACGTTTGTTTAAAGATATAATTCCAATCAACCCTAATCTTTTACGTACTGAATCGCTGCACCACTTGCTATTATTCGGTTATCTCTTTTCACTTTGTCTTCACTACTCATGAAGCATTTCCTAACTTAACAAGGGCGTATGTATTCAAATAAAAACAATAAAGAAGATACGTCCATTATCATAGATCATTCGTTGTGGACTTTGCCAATTTTGACCGTTCCAAGTCTACCTAATTTACTTGTTGTAGAGTAACTAATGAAAGGCGGTGTCCTCTGGCGCCCTTCAACCTGTACCGTCAGGTCAGCGAGTTAAGAAGAAGAAGTGGAGGGCACCAGTTAGTTACCTTGTGTGCGGGCGATCAACTGCTAGACTGCGTGCGAATTCCGTCTTTGTACGTCCAGCCAACCTTGTAATTGTAATGCACTCCACAAGAGAATAAAGAAAAAGAAAAGAGCAAAAAAAGACGGAAAACAAAAAAATAAAAAAGGAAAACGAGAATGAACGGAAACCCTTTCGCGACCGAAGCCGTGGTACGTACTGCTATTAGTTCATGATTATTGCTACGACAGCGGTCATCGAGATGCAAGAAGAACTTAAATGGAGTTGCGTTGCAACGAACTCGTAACACGTAGCAATAATAATAAGTGATAGACGATGATAAAAAACAACGAAGTAGATTCAGGTCTCGCTGTTGCCGTTTAGCTACTCACTACAATGATCAATTAGTCCGTTAATTCTATTAGAAGATTTACACTTGATCTTTTCGAACATGCATAAGGAAAATTGTCCAAAAATGTAAGGAAACGAAGGTATCAAAGATCTACACATCATAGGGTCATTGGAGACGCCTTACTACCCTTCCATTTCTTAAAACCTTTACCGATTTCGGAACAGTAATCTAATCTAAATCTTTCTCATGTCGCAGGAGATGTCCTACTATCCTGTCTATCGTGTTCCTTACTAATTTTCTTTTACTACTTTTTACAATTCCATCTCATTTCTGACCGTTTCCATCGGCAATATTTTCATGGTCCTAGGAGTAGGTACAAAAGCTCTATATACTTAAAGTGGTAAAAGCTGACATAGATTATTCGTTAACTAAAGATCATCTGCTATTTTTGACACTATAGCGATTTTAATCACCACTAGCGCCTGGACACGGTCAAGGATCCAAAGATCCTCAAACACATGGTTCAATAAACCATCTCTAAAAGCTACTGGAGTTGTAATTTCTGAACTGGACGTTCATCATTTATTTGCGTTTTTCTGGTTCTACAATTAACTGTATTTCTTATTAGACACATTTAAAGATGATATCATTGGCGTATCGTTTCTAAATGAATTTTTCTTTTGTTTCAGGTTGCAAGATAAAAGCGCTTAGGGCAAAGACAAACACGTATATCAAGACGCCAGTGCGAGGTGAGGAACCAGTATTCGTAGTGACAGGTCGCAAGGAAGATGTAGCTAAAGCAAAACGCGAAATATTGTCGGCCGCAGAACATTTTTCTCAAATCCGCGCGACACGTAAAAGTAACATAATCGGCGGTTTAAACGGCAGTCCACCAGGTCCGCCGACCAACATCCCCGGTCAAATAACCATCCAAGTTCGCGTGCCGTATCGCGTTGTGGGTCTGGTAGTCGGTCCAAAAGGAGCGACAATCAAACGCATCCAACACCAAACCCACACGTACATCGTGACGCCCAGTAGGGATAAAGAGCCCGTGTTTGAGGTAACCGGAATGCCGGAGAACGTAGAAAGCGCCCGACGAGAAATCGAAGCCCATATCGCTCTAAGAACCGGAAACGGTACTTCTATCAACGGACTGAACGGACTCGGAGGTCTCGAAGAGTCGGCAGATCTATTGGCATCGCTGTACAAGACTGGTCTCAATTCTCTCTTCAATTACATCGAGTCGCCGACAGATCCGTTCAGTAATATGACTTCGTCGACCGGAAGCACTGGCGCTTTTTCGAGTTCTGGTTCGTGTTCGAGCAGTTCGTCGAGTTCGGGCGGACGGGCGGATTTGGGCGCGATCTGGGCCCCGAACGATCGCGACGAAGGACTGGGCGACTCGCCCAGTTTCGACAGTTCGACCGCGCTCTCGAGCATCTGGTCGTATCCGAGCGTGGGCAACGGCAGCGGTAACAATACGAGCGCCCCGAATCGCCCGTCGCCCCCAACGAGCACGAGTCCTGCCGATTCGTTGCTCAGCTCCGCGAAGTGTTTAGTTTGCCATGAGGCTAAAGTCACACATGCTCTGGTGCCGTGCGGACACAACTTTTTCTGTATGGAGTGCGCAAAGCGGGTGTGTGAGGGCAGTGACGCACAGTGTCCAGTGTGTTCTTTGCCCGCGATGCAGGCAATCCGCATTTACTCGCCCAACCCCTAGGTCGATATAGTACACTGCTATTATTATCGTCGATCTCTCGCTAACAACAACAGCATCATCATCGTCGTCATTATCGTAATAATCATGAACCTCCCACTGTCTCTTTCACTGTTTCTCTGTTTCTTTCTCATTCACACGAAACATGGTTGTACCAGAAAAAAACACACAACCGCTCATTCACGTTCACACTCATGCTCGTCATCGTTTGTACACTTGATGTATGTCACATTCCCTAACCGCGTCCTGTGTTCAGCTACGGTTTGTCCCGCAGTCGTGTGACAGTTTTTCATACGCTCTACAACGAAGAACAGTATATTATATTATTATTATTATTAAGTGTGTATTATTGTACGAATTACGTTTTTGTTAACTTTTACGCTTTGTTTTTGTTTCTATTAATATATTCGTTGTTTTATTAATATATTCGATGTTCTGGTATAATAATAACACACACACGATGCGGGACCTATCGGCGCATATTATAGTCGTTCTAACGCCNGTGTATTATTGTACGAATTACGTTTTTGTTAACTTTTACGCTTTGTTTTTGTTTCTATTAATATATTCGTTGTTTTATTAATATATTCGATGTTCTGGTATAATAATAACACACACACGATGCGGGACCTATCGGCGCATATTATAGTCGTTCTAACGCCAGTTTGCATGTTTTTACGTTATTTTTTATTATTATTATTATTATTATTAATATTATTATAT